GGGATTTATTACAAAAGCTAATGAATGACAGGGACCCTACCCGAATAATTATATTTTTAAGACGAGCTGGGCATAGAGTGGACGGTTATATAGCACAGGAGATTGGTATTCACCCTGGCGACATACATTTTGAATTTTAATTATTTTATATTTTGTTAAATTAACCCTAATCTTAAGATTATTTATATATTTTGTTTGACAGCGACACAGAATCAATTTTAAATGTGATTACTACTATTAGTGTTTATTTTACTACCTAGAAACTTGATTTATATATTTTTGATCAAATAATTTATTTGGTTAGGTTAATTATGTAATATGCACCTAAATAATATAAGCAATGCTGGGCACTAACAACTTAAAAAGTTTTATGTTATTGTCATGTTAAGTTATTTTATATTATTATATTTGTAGGTAATAAAAAATATTCCAATAATTAATTTGGTAATTATAATTTAGTATAGTTATGGACCATTAGGTAAATAAATACATACTTTTATTTTCTAGTTAAATTGTTTTCTTTATTTCTGATTTTCAAAAAAAAGCACCATTAAGTAAACCTCATGTCTCGTATACACTTTGTTACAATTATAAATTAGATGAAAATAAATTGTTATAAATAGATTGTTTTTTAAATTTATACTTACAAACAAATTGTGTACCTAATGGCTACTACATCAGTGATCAGCACATACGACTATATTAAAGACGACACAGGATAATTAATTCTATACGAGACACTACACGAGTAGCATAGACTAAAATATATATTAGGTATACTCGTATACTGTATACATATACTGTATTTGATAATAGAATATAAAGTAACTTAATGTCTTAATAACACAGTGACACTTTTCCATATTCCATAGTAACACACTGCAAGACTACTGAGCGACGAGCGTCTGAGCACTTTAAAGTTTAATTATGATGTATGATTATGGTTTATGAAATTTTCATATATTATTTATTATTATATTATAAAATAATGTAAATATGTAATCTGTGTTATATTAGTTATATAAGCAAATACAATTATCTTATTATATTAATAAATTATAGTATTTGCTATAAATAAATGAACAACAACCTGATAACCATAACATAAATATTAAATATAGGCATTGTGTCATTTATTTTAAAATTTCAAACAAGTAGTGCTACCACCAAAAGAAACCATAATTATTTTCACATATTTTTTTAAGTTTCGATGTTGGCAATAGATTCAATACAAGTATTTTTCGGTTAGAACTGTTATCAATTTTCGGACGACTGCCTACGACCCGGTAGCGGTGTCACCCCATAGTCCATAGACAGAATATTTAAGCATATTATATTATATTGTTTATATAATATGTGAATATGTCTATGGTGTCACCTTATCTTCCCTACATCGTGATACAGGTCCTCGAGCGAATACCTATATACCTACCTACCGTATGTTACGAAAAACGGGCCATCTCAACTGTGGTTAAACCCACCATCGTATGGCAAGAAATTGAATTTCCATAGAAATAACATTGAAAGACTACACATTTTAACTTAACATAACTCTGGGATAACTGGTCGCATTGTGCTAATTACGGTACCAACATTTTTGTTTTCATGTGAACTTCAAATTTATACTTAATAACAATTAAAATTAAATTCTCTAAGCAACATTTTTTTTTTATGAAAAATACCTAAAAATATTTATACATTTTTAAATAATACTAATTTAGATAGTTTTTATCCTTAAATTACTTTAATAGAATTAATAATATGTATTATGTCATATTTTAATTGCCCAAAACAAAACAAAAACTGTGAATACTAAAATAATAAAAATACTATATCGGCCATCCGGTATACTCCGCGTAAGTAATATAAAACATATTTTCTTGCCATACAGGAGCGGGGTTAACGTAAAACGCGACGGCCAGTTTTCACATCGAAGTCCGCCATTCAGTATATTCTTATCTATCTCAGTGTCTCTACATCGTGTTTGCAATAAATTGTATACATTTTTTACTATTTATTTTATTATAGTCACATAGACATAATATATGAACAACTAGATAGCCGCTGCCGACTTATCTTTGAAGGCAAAATCGCCATATGCCCCATAGAGTACTCTATGAAATGAATATATATCATATATATAAATATGAAACGCACAGATATGTAAACGCAATGTTTATATTTTAATGTGATAACAGTAATTGATGACAAAAAAAAAACCGAAATCCCCAATGGTTTTGTCATAGACATATATTACATATATATATATATATAATGTCTATCGTTTTTTCTGTTATCTATGTCGTGTTATCACATAACGATGTAAACGTTGCCATTTAGGCAAATGGCGGACTAACTTCCAAATTCTGTACAGCGCTTGGGGATAGTGTTGTAGCCGTTGTAGGCTATATTCTAGTTGCTTATATAATACGCATAATTATGACTATAGTCCGCGTCACGAAAATTGGCGGCTGTTCGCCACGATTTAAGCGGACTATTGGCTGTAGTGGTTATCAAAGTGCTAATAGTTTGTGCTGCGCCGCTTCCGTTCCGGAATACAAAAATAGAATGAGAACCATTGTCTACGCGATGGGTGAGGTTCGGGGTACGACTGCGGCCAGCCACAACTATAATTCGTGACGCGGACTATAATTATAGTCATGAATTATTTAACTAGCAACCGTTGAAAATCGTTACCAACTTCAGACTTCACTTTTGTTTATCGCTATGACGCTTCCGCCATGACGCCATTATCGGTCAAAATTTTCTATTTTACCACAGGTTAAGAATAGGTTTGATGATAACTGAGATTTTACATTTTAGTTTTGCGTTGATGCTTTAAACAGTTTAAACCTTTAAACAGTTGTATCTATTATGAGTTATGACTGATGTTCGTCGTCCGAAGTGTTCCAAGTTCTAACAATAATACTATAAATTAAAATTGAAAAATACTATTATCTACAGGTCTTGTCAGTCAGTCATTCAGCATTCTACCAGTCAGGCACACGGCCGCTGTCTCACTGATTTTCGTTGAATTCATATATTTTTTTTTTTTTCAAAGTTTTTAAATCCGAATACTTTTTAACGATACTCTCGTTTCTGAACTTCAATCTTACACCTATATAAATTTACAAGTAAGTAAAGCAATAACTATAACACTATTTTGTTTACAAATATAATTGTATCGTGTGCCGACATCACAAATGGTTGCCGCCATTTAGTCGTATCAACTTGGCTATCGCGTCTCTCGGCTCTATTGAATCACAGACTTCAGTGGAATTAAAAAAATATATATTAAACATCACTGGATTGAGGGAAATTAATTTACAAGCAATTTTGTGTTATTTTAATATTTTAATAAGTTATCATGAAATTATATTTTTTAGTCGCAGAGACCCATGTTTATTTATTTATTTTTGTGTTGATTTCTATCTCGCTTCAAAAATTTGAGTCCATTGCTGCTACCTAAATTATAACAACTAGACAGTATTTAATGTTATCGGACATTTGTACTCCCCTCTTATTTTTAAATTATAATTTATATTGTTAGTTTGAGAAGAATAGCATCTTAAATAAATTATTTTGATAATTTGCCTTTGGTTTTCTGTGTTTAGTTAACATCTTTATCCAATTTAGCCTTAATAAATTATTATCTATTCAATAATATTCAAAAAATATTCTTTACAGATTGGTTCAATGTCTTCAAAAAAAGTATATAATATCAAAGACAAAGTCTTTGCAAAAATAAGAGGTTATCCTGCTTGGCCAGCAATAATATCTGGTGTTAAAGCTGATACCCCATCACGACAAAGGTATAATGTTTATTTTTATGGAACTGGTGAGCGTGCTGAATGTAAATCAGAAGAACTTTTTCCGTATGAAGAAAACAAGTCAAAATTAGGAAAACCAAATAAACGTAGACATTTTGCTGAAGCTTTATTAGAAATTGAAGGCGATGTTGACTGTACTCGGGTTCTTCCTGAAGATGATTCACAAGTATCTGTAACACCAAGTGACACTAGTCACATGGAACAAGAATCATCTAAAGATGAATCTGAAAACGATAATGAAGTTGAAAAATCAAATGAATCAAATTTAGAAAGTGAAGGAAAATTAACAACCGATGAGTCTACTTTGTCCAAAGGGAAAAAAGTTGTTACATCTAGAAAGAGTTTAGGGCTCTCTATTTCTAAAGGAACAAAAAGAAAAATATCTGATGTTAAACCTGAAGCACCTTCGAAGAAGTCAATGTCAAATAAACCAAAAATCTTGGAAAGTTTAAACCTTAAACAAAGACGCTTAGCTATAGTATTGGTGGAACCATTGGACCATGGTGTAGTAGAAAGAGCTATTAGTGGACAGCAGGTTAGTAAGTTGGAGTAATTTAATCTATTTGATGGCAACTTAAAATAAGTACACGAGTTAAATGTTATAAGTCTACAAGTTTTTTTTAATTGAAGAAATGTTAAATTCTAAGAAAAATAGTACAGATTTAATGTTTTTACATGTATTATTCAATGGGTTGTGATTATAAGAAAATAGAAATTGAAAAAACATGGTATTGGGCTGGGCTAGCCTTTATTGTCCATTATAAGATATAAATCACATTTAAGTATGTAAAAGTTGTTTTTAAATAACCATAGCCTTAGGGGGGCTATACATAATTATTTATTCTGTAACTATATTATATGGGATCTTAAGAATCTTTTTATCTTTTTGAGTTAATTAAGTCTCAAAGTATAACACCTTGTGGTAGATATATTATTAAGTTAAATACAAATAAATTAAGCTGTTCCAAAAGAAAATATACCAGCTCTGCACACTATTTTCCCCTTCCATCAGTTCCGCTACCTTTGCTGTTATGTTGAAACTTGTCACTGTACATCAGTAGCCACCTAGTATATTCTTTTTTGGAACAAATTATCTAGGTACCTAATATTTTTCAAATAACATAATAAATAAGAAGTACCAAATACTAAAACAATTCAAATGTTGATATTCTGATTTTCAGAAATTGGAGCAAGCTACTGATAAAAATGTTAGTGCTGATGAAAAAGTTTCTGAAACAGATAATCAATCAGATACTCATAATACAACTGAGTCTGTGCTTGAAACTAGTGATGTATTATTGGATTCCAGTAAATCAGCGAAATCCTTGTCAAAAATAAAGAATAGTCCTACATCAAGTAGTGAAATATCGTCCACCAACAGTGTGAATGTTGGACATGTATCACGCTCTGGTCGTAAAATCAAGCCAAAAAAATATTCTGATTATGAGAATGAATCGGAGGCACCAAAACGTTCACGATTAAGCAAAGAAAATTCCAAAAATTCAGAAAAGAATAATACTAGCAATAACGAAACAGATTCATCGGAACAAAGTTATAAAACAAAAGGTAATATTTTAGTTGCTTCTCTATTTATAAAATGTTTTATTGTTTGTATATTGGTGGTGATAGTTTTCAGTATGATATTAAGAAAAAAGATTAAGTGGTTTATTTTCAAAAATCAATTTTTTAAGAAGCAAAAGCTCCTAAAAACATATCTAATTTTGACCATTTTTTATTTAGTATTTCCGATATTGTTACTATTTATTTTTCTAAAATGTTAAACTTTTATTATTTTGAGACAATTTGCATTATTGTCATATTTTTTTATCAGTTTTCTTATTTAATATATCACCTAAAATTGTTTTTCTTATGAGGACTCTACACTGACATTTGTTGCCTTCTTTCTACAAGTGTGTAACAGCAAATTTTATGCTCAGCTCATCACGTTTAGTTCCGTTGGTTTAAAAATTAGAGTGAACTGACCTCTTCTAAAATTTAAAGATTAGATTGTTGTATAGGGAATCTCATAGGCTTTTTATTACATTTTAATTTTAAAGCGAGTTATGAGTATTATTAGATGTACAAACAATTTAAAATTTTTATATACTCATAACTCACTTTGAAATTAAAATATAATAAAAAAGCTGATAAGATACTCTGGATATTAATCTCATCTTAAAATTGTATACAATGTTAATTAACTCTAATTTTTGAACTAACAGAGCTAAATTTGATCTGGGTGTAAATTTTGCTATATTCCGCACTTGTCGAATGGGGACAACAAATGTCCGTATACTGTCCTTTTATTGAACTATGTGGGATAACTAACATTTTATTTTTTTAGATACAAATTCAGAAACAAGAAAGATATCTAGAACCCATGCGTCAGCATCAATACCACATGTAACTTCTACACCAGAAGGTAAAGATTTGGAGCAAGTGGATAATGAAATCAGTGAAGACGGCGAACTTCCGGTAGTACTAAAAGATATCATGGTTGGTACTTTGTCAAATATAGAAACTGGTTGGGTAAAAGCTGGTCCAAAAAAAATTACTAAAATTGATTTATTACACACCGAATGTGATTTGCTAGATTATATTTATAAATTACGCATGGCCTTACGGACTGATCGTGTTGATTATGAAGTAGCATTAGAGTTATTGGAACACATTATTGAACTACAATTTAATGCCCTTATGTTAAAAAAACATCAAGAAATTGTGGATACAATTAAACAAGTGACAAGGTACACTGGTAATGCAAAAGAATGGAATCTTAATGAAGAAGAAACTATTTTACATAACGAAAAGTCAACTATAATTCGACGCAAGGCTGAAATAATATTTAATAAATTTATATCATTGTTCACTGTATCTGATGGACAATCGTTTGACGACATATTTAACAAAGAAGTTGAAGACTTTTTTACAAAGACTAAACATTTGTCTTGTGATCAGATATATGGGCTTACTTCAGATAAGGATTATAATTAATTTTCTTACTATTTAAAAATTAATCAAAACAACTAACATTATTTTTTGTCGTTACAAAACAATTGTATAATGATCTACTGGTATTCCGCAACTATTATTAAATTATTTTTTGACGCTCTATTGGTTACATTATTTTGTATCCATTATTATAAATTTTTATTAATAATATTTAATACATTTTTAGTGTTGATGTATAAATTTAGGAATTGTGTTAATTACGAATATAATTTATAGTATAATAGTGATTTTTCATTGTATAATGACATGAGTAAATTTTTCAAACTAATTATATATATTTATTGTATTAATTTTGCTTCCATTTAATTGATAATAGATTTCATTTCATTGTTATTATATTATAAATGTTAAGAACTACTGTATAAGTGAATTGAAAACCAAACAATTAGCAGGATAGTTAATTGATAATAAATTATACAAGGAGATTTTATAGACAGATTAAGAATAACTATTAATAAAAATAAAAATTATTACATTAATAATTGATGTAGTGCACAGTATTTAGTCTATGTAAAATTATTAAGTATTATATAATCATTTCTTCAGTTAACCGTTAGTCTTCAATTATGTATAAACTGTATAAACCAAGTATTCCATAAATATGCATACATTTTTCATTTAATGATGAACTTATCGAATTCTAATTTTTGGAATTTTTAAATATATTTAAAGATCATATTTTTAAATACTTGAAATCTGTTGTATTACTGAAGAAGTGTACTATTGCAAACTTCTGTTTTTCAAATGAAAACCCTTCATACCTTTGTTTACTGTAAATTATTTAGTGGATATATATTTTTTCAATGTTAAGTTCATCAGTACTTAATGCAAATAAGCAGTGAAAAGGTCTGTGCAACAAGCAGCCATCTCCATTTTTGTCAAAATTGGGTTATGATTGAATTTAATAAAGAAAAAATTATGAGTTAATCTGTATAAGAACGAGACAAATCCGACCACTCTTTTTTATAGTAAAATATAATGCAACTGGAAGCTGTTTGGGTTTTTTTTGCCATTGAAAAACCAGATGCCTTCGGTGGTTTTTTGTGTTTCTTGAAAAGTTTTGGAAAGTAACTAAAAAATCTAAAAAAATATATAAATACAATTATTCACTTTTTTTTACAGACATTTAAAGTTCATATAATTTTATTCCAGCATCGCTGATTATTTAAGAATAATATTAATTCAGCTTACTAGCTACTATATTAATAATAAGTTATAACAATATAAAGTATCCTAGACTGACATACCGTCTCCGCTCAGAATCGTTTTTCGTATACAATGATATGATATTGAATTCGAATTTAATACCATCCATTACAGCGACCTCCTAGACACCCAATGTACTGCAGAGCGACATCCACTTACCCTCTTTTTTTTTTTTTTACTTATGGTTACCCACAACTCACCATAGACAATATAGGTAGGTGATAAATGTTTTTTTTAATTTGAATTTATCTGAGATACCTAATATTAATTGTTTGTCATTTACATTGTATTTTAAATCGTAATTCATAGGTAATATCTAACGTCTAGCCACGGGCTACTTAGTTGGGTTTAGTGAAATTAGGTCAATATTGTCGCGGAAGTAATGCGCAAGCAGTCCCCGTGGCGCCGTCGGTTCCAAACAGAAAAAAAAAAAGAGGTCAATGTTTACAGCCGAAGCAATAGCTATCCTTGTGGCTATCGTGATCATAATCTAATAGGAAAATTCTAAGTACCTACATCATCCTTCGCGATTCTTTGAATAGGCACTGTAAAAATCCTTTCAAAATCAATTCAACCCTGGCGATATTGCAACTAAAATACAAGACAAACTCAACAAGTCACCAACTTGGGCAAACATAACCACCATATTGTGATTTGTGGATATACTGACACTCAGGAATAATCGGCAATAAACTAGCCTACATACAAGCATCAATTGCCATCAACAACGATGTAACTCTTTTAATAAACCAAATGTCATATTATAATGACTCGAAAACATATATCAATGTTATCATTAAAAACAAATTGAAGCATTTGGAATAAACATAACACCTAATAAAATCTAATCAAAAGTGATGCTAATCGATCGTCGATGGTTATTTAAATCGCAAAGAAGACAGTTAACAGAATACGAATTGGTCACCAGATTTACTCACGGTTTTCTGATAGCTAGAGAGAAACCCTCCATTTGGCTGGGAACAATGTAACCCATATATTTATCACAAACTCATAAATATACCAAAATTACCAATGATTCATTATGTACACCCTGTAGTTTAATATTGTGTGCCTATATAGAGCAGGGCTTCAAAACGTTATTTATAACTAGTGCTCAGAAATTATGGAAGCTAAAAAAGGCCAAGTATACACTAAAAAAATTGTAAAACTTGCATGAAAAAAAACGTTAAAAATATACGAAAAATTATTCAAAGTTCGTAAATCATTATTCATAAAGGTATAAATATCTCTTACTATATTGTGTTATTAATATGCAAGAAATAATTATATTATGGAAACAAAATGGTACGGGAAACCGGTTTGCATTTTGACATTTTATTGAACTAAAAAAATAATTTTTCAATATTTATGAAGTTAAATACTAAATAAATAAATATCTACATGTTTTGTAATACCTGTTAAAGTTGTCGAATTGAACCAACAATGTTTTCTTAAGATTTTCAACGCATTTTGTATTCAAATCCGGGCCCTACTTCTTAGTCTTTAATCTTTTGTGCAGTGTTTCATATTGGTCCACTATCGTCTACCAAGGTGTTCTAAATATATGTAAAAAATCTTCAAAAATAATAATATTACACCAAGTGGATTATTTTTTGTCAGCCCCGCGGACATAATATGACATCGATGATCTATCCAATTTTGTATAGTAGCACACTTGCCCAATCCACCCCTGAATAAACAATATCGGATTTGTCGAAAACTGGTAGGTATTAAAAATGATAAAAATTCCTGTTTTCCATGATTTTTTCTTCATCGCGATCATTATTAAGAAAAGTAATAGGAACTTTCAATTGTTACCTCTTTAAGACTCAAAAGTACTAATTCACTCTGCTCAGTATCTAAAGTAGTAAAGTGATATTATTTATAATGTTCTGATGTAAAACACGACTATGATAAATAATTACAAAATACAAATGCGATAATATTAGTTAGCATTATAATTATTGCAACTCGCCACTTCAAGTTCAATATATATTATGATAAGATCAATTACATTTTTTTTTTTTAAATTATTTACAATCCATAGAATATAATAATTATTAGTATAATCACAGAATAAATTAAATAATTTCATTTATTCTGTGGTATAATAAGCAAATTTGATAGTTCATAATAGTTAGGTTAGGTAATGATAGAAAATTATCATTTATAAGTAAGCACTGAGCAGTTCCACCCGAAATGGTACTTTTTAGGTATATTTTGAACAAAATTGACGGCAATAATATTCTGGAGGGCTAAGCCCAGTAAGCCCCCTCCTAGATGGCTAGATGCTGTCATGATTGGTATGTCACACGTGTAACTTAAAACTTTTTCAACACTTGATTTTGAAGAGATACAGATGTAGATACTAAAGACTTAATCAATTATGATCAACGATCGATAGTCGTATATATCTTATGATCGATACACATTTCTTCTTTGAAAGTCTTTTAAACCAAATATTGTACCCACTACAGTCGCAGAAAGCATGTTTTTTATTATTAAATGGTGATTCATTCAACGTAGGAGTGTAGGACACTGACTATTCAAAAAGTATTTGTTTTTGAAAATTGTATTTTTTACACGGTTTCAAGTCGTATGTAACAAAATAACGTTTTTATTAAAAAATTGTATTTTTAAACATTTTTTATTCATATAAATTATAAATTATGCTTTTTTATTTTTTGAATTACTACTTACAATTTTAATTTCATCATATTCCAGAATATCTTTCTGAGAATTTTGATGCAGACAAAACGAATTTAGAATGAATAGTTACTGAATTATAATTTTGTAAGTATTTAAAATTGTTGATGAACGGAGTAGTGGTCAGTAGATCAACATTTTGCGTGGTAACCGCGTAGTGCGTACCATTCCACTCCACTTAGTCCGCTCTGTTATATAAACCTTAAATACTTATAAGTTGTAACTCGTTAACTAGGTACTCGACGCTTGTCCTAAATTCGATTTTTGTGTCATACATACAATCATACAAACAATATTCTGCCTAGGAATATGAAATTAAAACTGTACGTTGTCATTCAAAAAAGGGGAAAAAATAATATATTTATTTAAAAAAAGTTGTTTTTAATAAAAAAGAAACCATGTAAAACATTCTACTGTTGGAATAATAAGTGCTCAATGTTGAATCACCCGGTAGATTGATCAATACTTAAATCTGTGCGTTTTGTGGCGTATAATAGTAAAATACCAAGTACCAACAAACAGCTTGGGGTACCGGTGTAGTAGAATGAAGACAGTTTTAGTGTACCATAGCGTCCATAGCCACGATTAAAGATATACTCATCTTTAATATCTTTAATCGTGCACAGAACCAAGTTGAAAACATACCAGTATTACCATGATTTTTGGCTTTTGGAGCTTGCCAATTTGGGTTTGTCGTTACTCGTAAGGTGGTCGTTTCACGTTTGCCTAGACGTATAAAATGATAAATAAATAAATGTAAAATATTTATCTCGTTGTTCATTCTCATCATTATTATTCAGTCGCCAGTTAATTGATATTAACATGACAGCAATAATACAGCATAGCATAATAACCTTCAAATCATAGACATAATAGGACCTGGTGTATGCTTCAAATCAATGTATTTAAATGGTTTGAAATTTCAACTCCATTTTACTATCTCAAAACATAAATATGCAAGATATCTAATAATAATTACGAACATGTCTTCCTGGTACTCGAATGCATGAAATTGGATTGTGATGTCAAATCATTGTTGAATGTAATTTAGTGAAACATGAGTATTTCCCAATTCCCATCTTAGCATAAAACACGATGTTCTTTAAAATGTTATCTGTTTTTGATAAGTAATTATAGATAACAACGAATTAATCGTGCAACTTTAAATTTTAATTGATCGTTGTTGAGTGTTTCTCTCTCTATTGGACATCGCGCGTCTCGATAATTTACTAACTACCATCTCTATATAGAATTTATTTCGTGTAGTATTCCAATTCATAACGGTTGTATTTTTGTTGGTCGTGTAAAAATGGGCGATTCCAATATTTTAAAGTAAGTACTTAAGAATTTCTCATGCTCTAGGTTTAATTTTAACCATTTATTTTAGACCGGGATCCATCGTTGGATTCTGCAATCCATTGTTGGACATGATTGTTGTTGGAGATCAAAATTTATTAGACAAATATGATTTAAAAAATAATAATGCTATCTTGGCTGAAGAAAAACATATGCCCCTCTATGAAGAATTGATGAAGAATGAAAATATTGAATATACTGCTGGAGGCTCAGCTCAAAATTCTTTAAGGGTGGCTCAGGTATTTTCAGTGTTTAATCGAAATAGTCATTTTTATTCTAATTATTAAAAAAAAAAAACTATTTGTTTAGTGGATTCTGGAAAAGCCTAACGTAGCTGTGTTTTTTGGTGCAGTTGGTAAAGACAAATACAGTGAGATTCTGAAACTTAAAGCTAACAATGAGGGAGTTGATGTTAAATATCAATACTCTTCAGAAAAACCCACTGGTAAATATTTAGCTGTTATTTTTAACTAGTTACTTGAAGTGTTCTGAAAAATAAATATATTTAAAAACTTTATTCAGGCACCTGTGCAGTTATTGTCACCAATAATGGTAAAGATAGATCTTTGTGTGCCAATTTATCAGCCGCACAGACTTTTACTGAAAGCCATTTGGATGTTCCTGAAAATAAAGCTATAATTGAAAATGCAAAGTTCTACTTAGTTACGGTAAGTTCAATTTAGGATTACATTTTAAACAGCCCTAATTTAACCAAACATTTTTATATATATTGTAAGTTGTAACTAGTAGATCTTATTATAAACTATAAATATTTTTTATAAAACATTCCATTATTTTTAACAAAAGTTATTGTATTATTCATGCTATATTGTACACAGTTAATTATAAATAATATTAATATCTTATACATCTTGGTTATTTAAATATTTCATTATTGAATTGTGTTTTAAGACAACTACTAACTAATGATGAAATTTTTTTTTATTGTTTTTAGGGTTTTTTCTTACAAGTCAATGTAAAAGCTGTTCAAAAAATTGCTAAGATTGCTTTTGAACGAAAGTGTCCATTTTTATTTAATATGAGTGCTCCATTTATTTATCAATTTTATATGGATTCGGTTATGTCAATTTTTCGTTATGTTACCATTGTAGTCGGAAATGATGAAGTTAGTAGCATCCTAATTAGCATTAATCTAATCATAGTAAAATATTTATTTAATTTTAGGAAGCCAAAGCTTTTTCTGACGGTCAAAAATGGAATTTAACTAACATTGATGAAATTGCATGTAAATTAAGTACTTTTGATATTGAAAATGATAGACAACGTTTGGTTATTATAACTCAAGGTGAAAAACCAGTACTCGTTGCTAAAGGTATATATTTTAATACTTCTACAACTCTTGATATGACTAAATTAAATTTATCACATAATGTATGTTTATACTGCTTGAGAGAACGCATACAGCGGCCGACCAAGCTCATCTATTCTTGAGTATCCCCACCACTTTACCAACGCCAGCGCTATTTGTTGGTGGGCTTCGGTGTCCGTTGGCAGATGTGTACAGTGTACACTGTATATACAGTAACAACATTTTCTTAAGACGTTGTTTGTAGTATACTGATTCTCTTTTGAGTACAATGTATCCTATTTTGCGTCCATATTACAAAAATATTTATATGAAAATAAGTGAATAACAATAATATTTATACGTAAGTATTCGACACGGTGTTTGTTGTATTGTATTACTTGAGCTGCATATGCACAGACTATTTGCTGTATGGTGGAGGGAAATAAGCCTCGAGACGGCGGAGTGCAGTCATTCAGATTTGCAAGCTGTATGCGTTCTTTTGTGCCCAGCAATATAGTCATTAAATCCACAATTCTTATTATTTATTATAGAATTAAGAAAATTATTTTTATTTTATATTTCTTAGATGGAGTTATTACACAATATCCGGTGCCTAAAATTCCTATAAGTAATATTGTTGATTCAAATGGTGCCGGTGATGCATTTATTGGTGGTAAGATAAGTTTTGATAAAAAAAAGTTTATCTTTTACATAGATATTTTGAAAAATATTTTTTTCTTAGGTTTTATTAGCAAATATATTTTGGAATGTCCAATTAAAACCTGTATAGAAGCTGGAATTAATGCAGGATCATATATTATACAACAACCAGGAATGACAAAAGGAGATTCATTTAAAATATAAATATGCTTATACTAAGCTATAACAAGCCTTGTTACAATTAAATTAGTAGTTGTTGAAGACTACAATTTATTTTAACAATGCAACTTCTTAATTATATAACAATATTTTTTATTCAACAATTATTGTAGTATGATTATTATAACTTATAACTTATAAGTAATGATACTCAATAAAGACATTTGGAATAAGTTTTACTGTTTATTTCACTCATTAAAGTAAAAATGTTTTATTTTTATGACTATTGTGAAAACATTGCAAGAATATAATATTTACAAAACAATATATTACATTTAAGTCCATAACTGCATCACTGAGACATGAAAAAAAATTATTAAGATAGTACAAAACATTTTAAATTTATACAAAGAATAATTTTAATAGTTATTTAACAGCATTATTATTTTTTTAAAACTATGCAGCTGAGTTTCATCTAATCCTATATCATTGGCGTATACACCAAAATTCAATGCTAGCATCACAGCACAAGTCTTAACGTGTATTTTCAAGTATTCAATTTTCTTGGTCTTTTGGTTATTAAAATTTCTTTGTTGGACGTCCAGTTGATTTTTTAAATCTAAAATGGCGCTAACAATTTGCCCCAATTGTTCTCTGACTACACCATATTCGTCCTCCTTTAATGAAACTACAGCCAAATTTGAAAGTATATAACAGCACCAAACTGTTGCTTCAAATTCTTCTAATAATTTATCTTTATCCAATGGTCCAAAGAAGTAGTTATACAGCCAGAATTTTTCAACGAAATATAAAAATATGCTTTGTTGATTTAAATTGTCTTCTGGTGGTTTGCAGATGACACTACCATTAATATGTAATAATCTAGCATTGGTTATATTGCGCCGATTGATCAACTTAAGTGGTACATGGTTGACTAAATTTTTCATGTCATCTGTGGTGGATTTTATATTATTTATACAATAGTTGAATATAATTTTCCAACTCTGAGGAACATTTCCCGCAAAACTTAAGCTAAATATTTCTTTTCTTCTTTCTGCATCTTTAATTGTAGCTTGATAAAGATCATATAGTGCTAATGATTTTATAATCTTATTATCAACATTCAAAGCATTAAGTAAACAATTATCTTCTTGATTTATGGTCACAATTGGAAATATAACGCGTTCAGTCATAGTTAAGAATATAATGTGCTCAAATGAATAAAACAAGTATAAGACTAATGATATTGAAATCCAAAGAGTCACAAAAAAATAAACATTAGAACATAATTTAGGTTCAATCATATATAATGGAATAAATATGAAAAATATATACAAAAACGATTTTTTCAATGACTTAAATATAATCTCTGAAAGTTTAGACATAAACATTGAATATTTTGTAGTTTGGATGATTGGAAAGTGAAAGTCTTGTTCAAAGTAAACATTTTCATAATGAAATAAAACACCAGCCAGAGCACACCCAACATTGAGTAAATGCCAAATGTTTTCATCTTGACAGAATGGATTTATACTGGACAGAAACCATGCGCTGGTCGAAATTAAGGCAGCCGGTAATAAGGTTTGAATTGACAATCCTTTGATAATTTTGCTAAAACGGTTTGTACAAGGCAAGTTTGTTCTCACATAACTGCGTGAGTTAGTTATAATGAACAATAAAACAGCTACCAATACTGCAGGCACGTACAATAAGGAATACAAGCTGAATGTAAAGCTGAAAATCGACCGAAGTGATAATAAGAACACTGTTACATACGTGAATAATAAAGAACTGAGTGTAGATTTAAATGTCCTTGTTAAAAAAATGTTTGAATTGGACGTCATTCTGTCGGTTTTTTGTAACTTTATTTAACGGTACATTTCTTTATCTTTTGACATGAAATTAATGACTTGTTGAATATTGATTTTTAACGATAATTTTTTTTTTTATGATTTTAAACAATAAGCAGAACTCTAATAGTTAATTTAATTCATAGGTGTTACTTAAACTTTAATATACTCAACCGTTAAAAATTAAAACCGTACATTGAAGCAATACAATATACATGCTGATACATTCAACATTGGTATCATCATATTCATCTCATTATCTAAAAACTGTTCATTTTCGCCCGCGATTGGCTACTTTTCAACATTACACCGGTATTTTGAGGTTAAGATTATACCGTGTTACTCAATTAACATAACATTGCAATAGATTACGTCAAAGATATTGTAAATAGGATTACATTATTCGAAGTACTATGTAAATAGCAATATAATATGGTGGGTTCACTTCCAATTGCAAAAATGCAAAATGAAAATCCCCCCAAAAAACCCCGGTGATGTTTAGTAACGGCTTGTTTGATACTTTGCATAAGTACCTACTCGGCTACCCGAAAGAAACCTGAAAGTAGGTACTCCCTTGTAAACATTAAGCATTAACAGTACAATAACATGAGAATACACTTAAAGTTTCATTAATATTTTTTTTTACTAGGTAGGTCCTTACTTAAAATAAAATTGAACTATCATTTATATCATAGATAAATCGATAAACCATTTATGGCATATACGATCGTATATACATTTTTCTTGATTCTTGAGACATTATTAAGTTCATATTTAAAAAATAGAAAACAACACGTTCAAATAAACAATAAACTAGGTAGGTAAGTAAAGAAACGTCAATAATAGGTATGGAGTATATATACATATATATATATACTGCAAGGCACAGGTCTACTCATTAGATAGTGACGCTATATACATATAAACTTAAACTCAATAGCTGATTGAATTCACACAGGAAACTCGTTTGCTGTACAGATGATGCAGAATGTAGATACTAGGCCAGTCCTGACAATGGCGGATTCAGGGGAGGGGCACAGGGGCACGTGCCCCCCTGTCAATTTTCTAACGATAATTTTTATAGTATGTATATATACATGTGAAACCATCTTAAAAATAGTTTAAACAAATTGTAAATATTTAGAAATGTGTTTTACCTAAATTCATTCCACATAAAACTTGTAATTAATAAATTAAGAGAATTAATTTATACTGTAAAAAATCTAACAGATACCTTATCTATAGATAGAATTTTAGAATATTATAGACATTTATAGTCAGTATAGTGTATTGTGTAGAATCTATTATGATTTTTTGGTATTTCTATATTGTGAAGTATACTTACATATGAAACAACTTTAGCACCATAAATAGGGTGGACAAATGGGAATCGCTACGCTGTACAGTTGTATTTGTCGAGTATGTCATCATAATGGTAATCGGAATAAAAATCCCCGGGAAAAAAATCCTCAGTTTTCAACACGGTCTTAGGGGATATCTTCTAAGACCGTGGTTTTCAATATTACTCACATACACATGCAAAATTTTTGAACAAATATTTTTTTAAACGCTAATTAGTGTATAGTTACCAACAAAATTAATATTTAATTGTAAATATAAACGTATAGTGTATCAATATATACTTAAAATGTAGAAAATGTTAAATTTTTATAGCTGAGGATTGAAAATGTAAAATATTACCTACATTTCATATAATATTTTGACTTGAATGAAAATAAAATATTATTAGGAAGTGTTTTTATGAGTTTTACGTTATGTAGATGAAATATTTAAAATATTATAAAATAAAAATAAAAATAACTATCAAACAATAGTTAATGAATGCAGGTACTCGAATCTCGAAGTAAAAAAAAAAATCGTTATCAAAGGTACCTAACCTACACACTACGTAGTACACAGTACTACACAGTACACCGTACACTGAATCTAGGAAAAAAAGACCAAGGAAAAAAAGAACACGGAAAAAAGAACAATTTTTAGAAATTTTAAACATTGTCCCACTAATCAATATTTTTTTAAAAAAAAATTTTAATATAATGCATAGACACTTACGCTATACTTTTGGTATTATTTACTATTATTATTATTATTTATTATAAAAAAAATACGAAACATAAATACAATAAAGCTTAGTATAATAATATATAGTAAGATGCTAAATTTTTAAACTTCAATTTTTTAAATACATTTGAAATGGAAATTTTAAAATCTAATAAAGGAGGTGAAAAAGTAGCTTTTGAAGGATATACTTATATCACAAAGCACAAAGGTAAAAACTATTTTACATGGAAATGTTCGACCAAAAATACGACAAATTGTGCTGGAATACTAAGGACTAGTATTTTGAAAACTGATCCTACCGTGACAACAGAACACTATCATCCTGCGAACCAATCCGAAGTAAATGTTATGAAAGCAGTATCAAAAATGAAATTAATGGCTAAGACATCCTGTACAAATCCAGTCGAGATTTATGCTCGAGGTGTCTCCGAGTTAGATGAACGTTCTAAATCAAAAATTTATGTTTCGTATTTTTTTTATAATAAATAATAATAATAATAATAAATAATACCAAAAATATAGCATAAGTGTCTATGCATTATATTAAATTTTTTTTAAAAAAAAATATTGATTAGTGGGACACTGTTTAAATTTTTTAAAAATTGTTCTTTTTTTCCGTGTTCTTTTTTTCCTTGGTCTTTTTCACCGATTACCCCATACACTACAATAGGTGAAATTTTAAGTTTTTAATTCTTTTATAGTTATATCATACATAATACTATCAAAATGTTACAGAAAATAACCTAAGCTAATGTAAAAAAAAAAATTATTTCAGTTTTTTAATTTTACAGAATTATACATAAAATCGCAGTATTATAAAACACAATATTGTTGGTAGAAAGTATATATTTGTAATTAAATATTAATAATGATGGTAATTAGTTATTGCACTAATTAGGAAGCGTTTAAAAAAATATTTGTTCAATAATTTGCATGTGTTTGTGAGTAATATTGTAGTCTGAGGATTTTTTTTCCTAGGGTTGAGGATTTTTTTCCCGGGGAGTTTTATAAACAATTCTATATTATTTTATATTATAATGGACTTGTCAAACTTGAATTCAATTATTCAACTATAAGCCATTGTATATGAAAAACGATTTTAAGCGGATACAGTGTGTTAGCCTAGCATACTTGTATGGTTAATCAAATTTAATAATTTAAGAAATAATAATAACAATTTAAAAAATGTCATGAATATATAGTGTTACTTTCCTATATACTTTTTTGATAAAGGTAGAACAACTTCTATTAATATTCTACTTAATTTTCAAATGTTAGGTATGAAAAATACATTTCCATAAATTCTTAACTGAAAAATAATTTGTATGTTTATTTTTGATAAATTTTGTCAAAATTCCAACTTCAGACAATCGTTAAAAATTGTTGACGGTTTTCGTTTAAAAATTTTTTTTGATAATATTTACCCTTCCCCTATGAATAACTCAAGTGGAACCTTGTATAATAGTTGTATTACATTTTAAAGTTTTTTGATCGAACTAAAAATTGCATGGTTACCAACAATAATTGAAAAAAAATCAGAATATCTCATGGTTGTAAATAACTTAAAAAGGGTTGAAATAATTTTTAAATTTTATTGTGTATGAAAATACTATAATATAACATCAGGTGAAAATGTCAAGTGTCTATATTACCTTAGGTATTCGTTTTTGAATTTCAACAAAATATACTTGGGACATACCCCCACAAGTCTGTTCACCCTACAAACTGATTGCAACCCTAACAATTTAGCCCAATTCACAGCACTGAAATAAACACTATACACTCTTCTTATATGCTTGATCGATAAATTTATCTCGTGTTCTTGCTATACCTATTAGGTATAATATGCAAGGATTTAATATTTTAGTGATTATTAATTAAATATTTTACTGGGCACGTAATAATATTCTTTAATCATTTTAGATCTAACTACTGGCACTTCGTATGATTTCAGCTGTGCCATAAGTCCATAGAAACGAGATAGTTAGAAGTGCATAAGTCATTGGTGAGTATAACAACAAATTACTTTCTTTACTTACCTCCACAACCCGCCTACCATTTCTTAGTTCATGGTGTTCAATGTCCATATAGGCCATATACCTTATATATACATAATACATTTTACATTGAGATTTGAGTGTTCATGGATATAAATAATATATTTTACAATCTATATTTGTAATTTTATATATATTAATATATTATAACTCTGTGATCTGTAACAATCTGTCTTTTTAGGACTTCCGGTCTTAGACATATAAATATTTAATACGTTTATGCTCCCAGGCCAAAAAGTAGTTAGAATTACCTTAGTAAGAGGATGCTACAACCACAGATTAAATAATTATTTAATTGATTATTTAATTATTTAATCTGTGTTACAATCGCATTTGTTGTCTCCGTCTTCCAAGCGAGTAACATAGCAAAATTATGCTTAGCTGATCACGTTTAGGAACGTTTGTTTAAAAATTAGAGTGAATGTGGAAGAAACATTATCTGTTTTTGAATGTGGATTTTTCTTTCATGATTCAGCTTTTATGTGAGTTATGAGTTTATGATCATTTTTCATTTGCCCTATTTTATATAGGTAGGTACACCGTAGGCACCTTCTTAAAACTTGCTAAAAAATTAAGCAATCGTAAAAAAATCAACATAAACACAGATAAAGTTCTTAGTTATTATTATTAAAAATGAATACAGTCGATTCACTATATATTTTAAGCTAACGAAGCTAAATTTGATCTGCTGATCGTAAATTTGGTGTTAGCAACATGGTTGTAAGACGGAAAAAACAAATGAGAGTGTTATATTTAATCTATTCTGTGGTAATAGCGTCCTCTTAATAATAAAAATACGTCATAAATTAATAATTGATAATTTATGATCCATAAAATGTATGACATAAATAATAATATTATAATACCCATGGTTAAATACTAAGCTACTAGTTAATACCTATTGTATCTATTATCTATATTATATTATTAGGATCTATTTCAGATCAAAGGTAAATTAGTAAATTACTTTGTTTCATTTCAGAAGAATAAAATGTATCTCGGATTCATGTGGGGGAACTAGTTTACGAGAGATCTAGTTGATGTTTACTTATTTTTTTGGGCGTACCCACAATACTAACCGTCTGTCCTAAGTCCTAACAACATTTTTGTATAGAGCTTCAAGGTCCAAGGATGTAATCATTATTGTACGCCATAAGCATTACTCATATCGTCATATCTCGAAATTCTCAAATGAAGTCCAAAACAAATGTATTTTACTTATAATATTACCTGTAGGATTGTATATTAGTATTCATTACTCACTTTTCTTTATTCTCTAGTGTATGATGTTTTAAAAAATGTGTTAATTTGTTTTGAATGATATAAAATAAGCAACTATAGTGTTCTGTCATTTTTTTTTTAATATGCATATCCTACTAAAATTCATTTTAACAGCATTTTGTCTAGCGTCATGTAAGTTATGTGTATTTTAACGGTAATTCCTGTCAACAAAAATATCTTATATAGGTGGTGCCCGATCAGACAAATTATATATTTTTGGTTTTTACATTTAAATCTCTGATTAATAATTAATCATTAATACATGTAGGATTATATTATTATAATATAACCTTTGTTTATTTAAGTCAATTAAAAAAAAAATCAACTTTATTCATGAAAAAATTACAATCCATTGGCACACTATCGGCTATTTGTTTGTGAATTTATTTAAGACTGGAGTTACTTTCATAATATTATTTTAATTTATTTACATGGTACTTAATATACTGAAATTGAAAATTACACTTTGAATAGTAAACACAGGGGCGGAGTGGCCCGCCGGGCAACCGGGACAATGCCCAGTGGCCTGGCTTGCTTATATAAGAAGTGGCCTGGTCCTGGTGTGATGAAAATAATTAATATTTAAAATATTTAGCTATTTTTGATGACTGTAAAAACAACGAAAACAAATTAATAATGTGATATTTGAATCACCAATATTATTAAATTGTTTTATACTTCACCCAATCAAAAAATGGTAAGCACACATCTAGCAATAAGACAATAAATGGTATGAAATTCAATTTGAAAAATTGGCCTGAAAATATCTGTTTGCCCGGTAAGAATTAATGAGCCACTCCGCCCCTGAGTAAACATATTAAATGCTTCTAATGATATGTGCCTACATATTTTTTAGGAAGTTGGAAATGTATTACAATTTGAAATATACCTAATTAAATTATATTTGGGATTTATAATTTTAGTGTGTGGAAGTTATGAACTTAACAAGGTAAACACAAAATGTAATATTCCATTGGTAATTCGGGGGCAGTGGTATTCTTGGGAAAATGGACGCAGTACAACAACAGAAATTGATGCGACAAGTATGTCTAAGCGAGGGAATTGCATTCGATCAATGGAAGAAAATCAGGTGAATTTTACATTTGTATTTCAAAAGAGTGCTGGTGATTGTTATACTTGTGTCAAATTTATGGTCCGGACTGTAAATGTATTAGATAAAATGGAAAGTAAGTTACCTGTTAAAAAAACATTTACATTTTTAATTTAATAAATTTCAATTTTTAATCCCTGAAATATTTAAGGTGTTTGTATGACTTTAAATCCTAATGAGTATGAATCTCCTGATAAAATATGTCAGTTCCAAGACACACAATTAAACACATTGTTTTCGGAAAATTATATACCCGTAAACTGTCGATCGAGTCTTGAAGGTGTATGGCAATTTGCATACCAGGTATTATAACTATAGAATATGTTTTATTTTGTTATCAATTGGCTTGTTTATGGTTTAATATGATTGTGGGAAAATGTTGTGAACCAAGAATATAATATTTAATTTTTATTTTATAGAACCGTTTTCGTTTCACTGGTGAATGTAATAATCCTGAAGCACAAATTAAATCTTGTCAAACTGCAGGAACACAGTTTTTAATAACTAATCAAAAGTTTAATATAACATACAAAAAATGCCCTGGTATGACAGGCACATTTGATGGAGGTAAATTTCTCATAATTTTTCTATTTGGCTAAACAGTATGGTACTTTCATGTTATATGAAATTACGGCTATTATCCCAAAACTACTACTGTTTATTGCAAATACCACAATCTTATCATATTGTAATATTAGGGAACAGGCCGGGGTCTTCAACTAAAACCATATTAAGTTGAATTTATGAGATATCAGAATGTAAAAGATTCACTGGAATTCACTGGAATTTTTTAAATACTATCAAAATCCAATTTCTTCCTATAGATAATCCTTTGTAATATAATATACTATATCCAACCAAATGAATCATGTTTACCAAAAAACATTTAATTTTTGTATAGTTTCCATTTATCATTGTAATAAAACTTCACTTTTGAATATTTTATACATGTTAGAATACTATACTAAGGAGTAAGTATGGTTGTTTAAAAAATAATAAAAGTAGACTGTGGTAATAGAAAAGTAGCAAATATTGATATATTGTATAATCTATAACAGGATTGTGGCATTTCAAAAAACTAAGTAGCCTCGTATAACAAAAAAGTACTCCAAATACTAATTTTATTTTGTTTTTTACTAGTTGTTGAGTATAGTTGCTTAGGAGACTGGTTTGTAGACAAAAATCATTTCTTTGCTGTTGCTAATACTAAGGAATCTCGAAAAGATGAAAAATATCGATGTTTCTTAAAGAATCGGGATGATGATTTGTATATTGGAGTGTCTATTACAGCAGAGTGCAATACACTTCAGACGGTAGAAAAAAGTCCAGAGAGATTACATATAAATCCTGGTAATTAATTCTTGTGCATTTAATAAAAGTTATGCAATTTTGTACTCTTCATTTTAGTAATTATAGTAAGCTAACATTACTATTATAATTTATAAATTATTTATTCATGCAGTGAAAGCTGAAGTTGTGGAAGCAGGTTGTCGATTACCCCAAAATTTTAGTGGTGAATGGGTTAATACTGCCAATATGGATGCTGATGTATTCATTAATGAAACTCATGTAATTGAAACATGGTATCCGGATGAAGCACGATTTAGAAGAACGATATACGTGTGTCGTGAACAAAGAGGATCTCGTTATATGATGGCTCGGCTCACTGTTGATGGATGGTATAAATTATTTCAATGTTATAATATTTTGATGTCTTCAAATATTTTTTATTTATTTCAATCTTAAATATAGCCAAAAGGATTATGTATGTTTTGATTTTGTGCCCCGACATCACAATATTATTCGCTATAGAAGAGGTATAGCATTTATTAGAGATAACTTTCATACTGTGTGCTCTTGGGTACAATTTCCCAACAAAGATAATTGGAAATATGATATTTTTGTCTGTAAGTATATTTTTTTTGCTTGCCTATAAATAACTAATTATTAAGAGAAATATAAATTATTGTGGTAATATTTTCAGCCAAAACTCCAGTTCCTATAAGATGTCCAGTGGCAGGTAAATTCAACTTTACTCAACAGGGTGATTTTTTGTTTGAAACTCGTATTCTTGGTGGCGTTACATTATCACCTCGTCCACAAATTTCATGCAAAGACAAAATATCAGATTTTGCTGCTTGTGATGGTGATCAAAAAGAGATTACAATTGATGAATCATTTTGCCTTGATGTGGATCATCGTGGACAGCCTGTAGACATTTATAGTGATCCAGACTACAGATTACATTGCATAGGTTACTGGAAAGAAAATTTGAAGTCTTATTTAGTGACATATGATCCTCTTGACGCTGCTAGCATGTACAGATGTTGGGTGTATCAACGAGCTGATCTTAACCGGGTTCTAATGTCACAAGCTATAGGATCATTTTGTGATCTTAAACAAGATGCATTTAGTAGTAACTTTACAGAAGGAGCCACTGTTGCTATTGAGATGACAGAATATGAGCGTGAAAGTAGGCAATTTTGAATGTTGTAATGATTCTAGATAAATTATTTTTAAAATTAATTTTTTAATTTTAGGAGATCAATGTCCAATGTATTTTGATGATGGCGCTAATCCATGGATTCATGCAGATAATTATATACAAGTATTTAAATATGGCCGATCATCTACATTAATTGTTTCATCCAGTATGCTCTCAGTTGCCATTCTCTTTACCATACTGTTGTAAATTTTAATTGGTATGTTTCACTGCTATAATTTAAACTTCTAGTAGCTTTATCACAAAGTTGAGATATCATTATTAATTCATTGTACATGTATAATGCCAAATCTGTTTTAGATATTGACATATTGACAGTTGACTAAAATAATGGGATACACATTTTTTGTTTGACTAACAAAATATTTTTATTTTAAAATTTAGATTTCTGTTTCTATGTCCTGCACTTAATATTATTTCAGAACATAATTTCTTCTCGAAGGGTGATACTAATACATTACTTTATATTGTAATTTCGATTTTGATATTACGTAAACACCATTCCATTTATTTTTTTTAGGATTCTGCTTAATAAATTCACATGTCTACACAAATAAACAATTTCAAAGTTTGTTAAATCACAAAATTATATAAATAAATAATAAAAAATTTAGATACCTAAATTTAATTACCCACATATTATTAATACTGGATAATATAAGAGTTGCTTTGAGAGCAGTAGAGATATAATAGCAAATTATTATAAAGATAAGATATGATAAATAATACCAACTGTTCTTGCTCTAGTTGAGTTAATCTTTGACATACTACGCATCTATTTTTAAATATATTGTTTTATAAACAAGTAATTCAATTTTATATGGTTATTATTAATTTTAATATATTTATGGCAAAGAACAAAATGTAATGAACAAAAACTGACTGTTCATTATGTGATTATTGTTATTCTGATGTATAAAATATAGCTTTAAATATACAACTATAGATACTTAGATTTTCCATAATTGATTTTGTATTGATAAAAATAATCATATTTTTTTTAAAAATAGTTATTTAAATTAATTTACCTATGTATAATCTTTTACAATTTTTTATAAGAAATTTAATTGTGATAAATGTAAACGATCCGTCCAACTTCGTGTTCACTACATCGTAAATTGTATATTAAAGAAATTACATGTAATACATTTATTTTTATATTCAAATTTTATTTTATATACATTTTAAAAAGCATACAAAATAATTTGTTGGTTTTTATACATTACATACCATTTTGACGATGGGAACTAAATTCTTGTTTTGTATACGATTTGTATGTAATTATTTTTATTTAGAACATAATTATAATTGATTTTTTTTATTATATCACTGAAATAATATCTATATTTTTGTCTATACACTTATTTATACTTAATTCAAGTGGAAAACCTATCAATCTCTTAAATAAGTAAAGTATGAAACTGTAAAAGAAAAGATTTTATAACTACATTAAAGTAAGTTATAGATAATAAAAATTACATGGTTAAGCAAACACAATTATATAGGACATACAAATTTATTTATTATAATCGTCCATTCTTCATAGTGTACATTATTAAAACAATCAGTTTAGAATTATTATTATTTATTTAACAATACAACTATAATATGTGTTTTCAGAAAATCTAATCTTTACCAAACAAAAGAGCTATTTCTGGCTGGTCGACTCTTATCAACTTTTTGGCCACATTAAAATAGGCAGTGTATTTCACAGTGGTTGGTTCTGTGTCATGATGATAGTGTCCACCTTCTCCGTGTGTACCAAACATATGAAAATGCTGAGGTCTCAAATCCAAACCCTGCAAAGTTAAAAATATTTAAATGTTGGCATGTCGTAGAAACAAGTAGACAGGGGCTTAGAATATAATATAATTAGTTTCATAGGGAATAATGATTTATAAAAAAAAAAAAAAAATGTAAAATGCAAAAAATAAATGTTCAGTTTTTTAATCACCGGATCGTGAGAGACAAGATAACCGAGAGCCACTAATGGCGTGGACACTTCAAAAAACTTAAGCCAATTGTTCAAATCGGTTTCCGAGTGGAGCGGCGTTTTCGAAAAGTCAGGCATAACATGAACTTTTACTTTACTTGTTTCAATTAAAATCACTCCACCCAAACCTAAAAATAAATCAGCAATACTGAAATGTCTGAATTCAATTTATTGACAAGGGTTGTATTATATTATAATAATTTACAGATCTTTATTTAATTCTTACCGACCGGTTTGTCGCCAAAATATTTTGCCAACGCTTGTCTGATAGACGTAACAAAATCTAACGGGCCATTCCGAGTTTCGCACACTATTTTCAAAACCTAAAAAAAATGTATATACTTATTACGATCTCATAAAGATTACATTTATAAGTTTAGGTAGGTATATCATTTTTATTAATAAAGAAATTGTCTGTATCAAACAATAATAACATTAATAACTCCTAACTCTTTTGCGTTTTTCAATTACAAAAACATGCCCTCACTTAGATTAACGATAAATCGCGTCTTAGCCTTTAGGGCATCAACACCCATGATGAAACTGAAAGAGAACAATATTTTGAAGGACATATTACATAATTTTTTCGAAAAATTGAATAAAAATTATTTGTGAAATACGCTCAACTTCTTTTTAAAAAATGTCATTTATACAAATTCTACAATAATAAAATACATGCATTTGTACGCAGTACACTATAGGTATTAGGTATATTACCTCTCCTTTCATACCGCGGCTAGTGTAAAAATTGGCCAACAGTGCGAATCGTGTTTCGTCTTGAGGCAAACGGTGGTGCACTTGACTCCCAGTCTGGGGATCGACTTTGTAAAGGTGAGAACAATTATTATTGTTAACGCTGTCGTCGGACGTCAATCGTACGTTTCCAATGAACTAAAAAATATAAAACCACAGTTGTCGGACAGGTTCTAGTGTTCTACGAATATTAATAAATTATTTATGATTTTCGTTACCCTTTATTATTATAATATATAGTTGATCAATGATACCTAATTGATATTACGTTAACTATATAACTAATAAGTAATAATTCTTAAAATATTATTGAGAATCGTTACATCAACGTAGAACTACTTAGCAATATTATATGCACATTCATTGAACATACATTTGGTCATTTTAAATTAATACATTATAAGTAATCATTATAGATTTAAGATTGTACGGAGCAATACATAGAAATACCATATACCTATATATTTTAGCCAGTTTAGGTAGGTAGGTATTTATTTTATGAATAGGGGGTTATAAACTAAAAACTATGGTGGGGAAAAATAATTTACTAACCAAAATAAAACCCGAATCCCTCCCCACCACACAGTTAAAAAATATTTGGATTTTATGTTTATATCTATTTGTTTGTTTTTACACAAGTCTTAGGGCTCATTTTATGATTTAGAAACAAATTGTAAGTAGACAGGTACAGTAGGTTACAGGTCCATATTGATAAATAATATAAGGTACATAATAAGAATTCATTGATAAAAAATTTCGCATATCTGGGGGTGGGGGGGGGGAGCAAGTGCTCCTCTTGCCTTCCCCGCACCTTATAATTCTTACTTCGCAGTTGACCCCCACATGCGGCCACGGACCTGCGCCCGCTCCCATCACGAACAGGGGATCCGTCCCCGTGACTTTCATGAAGTCTCTGATATCGTAAACCTTGTCTAAGTTCACCAAGGGCAGTAAGAACGACGGACTGCCGATGTCGATTACCATTTCGTCACCATTCAGTCCTATATATACATATACACATGTATATTATGGTCAGCACAATGTAGTGAACACCTCAATAATATAATAAATAATATTACACATACGCTTTAAACTTTAGAGTATACACATATAACGCAAGGATGATAATCAATTAAAAAATATAAATTGTAATTTGGAAGTTCATGACACGTATAAATACACAATGACCATAAAGAACCATCTAAGAGGCTAAGGTATTTTGATTTAAATAAAAACCAAATTACCTACCTATCATAATATATTGTTTAGGTATTGAACATAACATGTGCCGATTATTAGGACTTATATGGTTAGGTACTACTGGTACTTAGTATGTTAGTGAACGGATTTCCTATAAGTTTTAGAATTTAGGCTTACACAATTGTTTATGATCTAAGGTCTTAGGCAATAGAAATCTATATACTATATGGTATATTGATATGCATCACAAAAACTTGAGGGCGACAGTGGTGAGCCACGTGTGGCGTGCAGGCGACTTCTAAAAACCTGCTTATAAAAATACTATTTTAAAAAAATTCGTCGTTGGAAAACTTATGTATGAAGCCATAAATGCAATCAATCAAACATTGGAAAAACCAAGTGAGACATGCTGCAGAAAAACTTCAATATATCGTTTACTAAAAAGTAGGTTTTAGGTATTGTTAAAAATGAAGCCTATAATTTTGATACTTGACCCCAACGACATCAATTATTATAGCAGTGAAAATGATTTTTAACAATAATTTCGTTTATTGAAAATATTATAAATTTTTTGTTTGTATTACCTATAACTTATAATTATTTGATAAATCGATGATTTTATTGAGCACATTAAATTGTAGGTATTTAAAAAAAAATTCCTTTAAGTACATGAATATTAAATATATAAAGATTTAGAATGGATTATTTTTTATTTGGTTCGAGACAGTTTACCGACCGATGGTCGGCGATCACCGACGAGAAATTGCCACTCGAGTACGCCTCAAGTGGCTCAAGCTACAGTCACCCACACGTTTACGTGACGCCGCTGCCGAGTAGTATACTAAGTATTGGTGATGATATTATATTATTATGTTCACATAAGGTTATCATCAGAGAACACTTTCCATTCACCTAAATATAGCTGCACGCGTGTCCAATGTGTAATTTTATCTTGAGGACTTAGTATTTACCTTCGGCAGCCAAGTTGAATGGCGAACAGGTCAAATCGGGACATTGTACAGCGTCCACACTTACGGTCTCAAAATTTTTCGACAATTCCGGTAAAAGGGCTAAAATCATAAAATTAAATTAAATAGGTACGTTGTACATGGGCGTACCTTGTATTCGCTATACACAGTATACACGACTATTATATAATAATTCTTATATGTACATATCCACCATGAGCTGCTATGCACAAGTCAGCTTTATAAGCTCGTGAGTTTTGTAAGTACCTACCGAGATTAGAGCTATAATTAAACAATATACGAGATACTCCCGGAGAAACGTTATTTCGTTTTTCAAAGATCTCGAGTCTATAATATTTACTTATAGGAGCTTTATGTTGATATATTGAAAAATATTGTGAAAACAAATAAAACATATTACACACAATTTCAATGAGTAGTACCTATGTTCTTTATCATATATTGGCTTATGATTACTTATAAAAAAAGTGAAAACCACCAAACAGTTTTACAATATTAGGCTGTATTTTTGAAAATGTACCAAAGTTGCTATCCTTGATTCAAATGTCAACCGCTTTCAAAATTGATTTTTCACAAAATGATAAATAAATAGCATTACAAAATGGCTATTTTCGAATATTTAAGTTTTTTTTAGATTAAAAAATAATTTAATCCTTTTTAAATTGTTTTAGATCCTAGCATAAATTACATTAAAAAAACCGCACTACATATCTGCATTGTATTTCAAATAAGAGCTAGTGATAACTTTCGAATTGATTAACACAATATATAAATAATAGTACCTATCGGAAAGTAAAAACGTCCTTGTACCTTCGTTTTTGTTTTATTTTATAATAGGTAGGTAGGTTATTAGGTTAGGTAGGTATACCTATATATACGCTCAACCAACATATTTTATACTAGTACAGTAAAAACACTTTTATAACGAATCTGAAGGGACCAAGAGATTTCTTTCGTTATAGAGAGTTTTCGTAATAGAGAGGGTTTAAAAAAAAACAAAGTTTTAATTATTTATGTATAAAGGTATGTGTACCTATGTAATATTATATATCAAACACATCATTATTTTTACATTATTTTATATATATTTACGTATTATATTAAATTATTATTATTATTATACATACTTATTAAATATAATNTTACATTATTTTATATATATTTACGTATTATATTAAATTATTATTATTATTATACATACTTATTAAATATAATTTAATTTTTATACTATATATATTTATACTTTATTTAAAATAGTCTGTCATCTTAGTTTGGACTTTTTTATTCGGCGTTATTGCCGATTATTTTTATAGTTTATATATGTAATGGATACGATAACACGTAAATTGTATTATTAAACATAAAATATTGTTTCGTTATTGAGAGTGACTAATACGTTATAGAGAATGAATTGTCTAATAGGTTATATAGCAAACCAACCATTATTATGTAATGTTTACGTTATATAGAGTTTTTCGTTGTAAAGAGTTTCGACTGTATATTATACTCTTACTAAAACCCGAGGTTAATAACTTCTCTGGCAATATGTCGTTCAGCGAGATACGCATTTTATCATAATATAATACATTAATACCTCTACAGAAGAGATAATCAAAAATTATAATGTGTGTTATGTAGTCATGTGGATTGTAGAGGTAGGTACCAATTTATTTCGTGTACAGAGTGCTCGAATCGATGACATGTATCAAATATGCATACGATATGCCTTATGGACAATAATTATCAAATTTATTCGTGATCCATACTGTATAATGTTTGTGATACAATATACTATTGTGCTGTACACTGTACATAATAGTATGTTGTTTTATGATATAAACGACTAATTATTTCTCAATGCAATTAATATCGGCTATCGTGTTTGTAGTTTGTACCCATTTATTAAACGAACTGCGTAGCCGCGTAGGTATCCTACCTTCAATGATTCGATCCAAAGACGGTACGGTGAGATCGATGCGCACCGTGGGCAGACTGGTCATGTCCAGAGTAGCCGGCGATTTGGAATCAGCCATTATTAACGAATATTTTAAATATAGCTTCGAAAGAAAGCGGCAAAGTTTACGAGCACAAAAAACTGGACCGTCGGCGATAACGTTCGGCGGCATACTGATTAGAGATTACTGATTACTGACATTGGCAGACAATAGGTATGTCAGCAACAATACGAGTTTGAATTTTGTATGCGCATCCCCACTTTTCCTTATATGTCAGATTCTAACAGCTTCATTGGTTCTTATTATCAAGGACTTGGTTAGTTTGTTACCGCGTAAATATGAATTTACTTGTTATTGATATAGATAAACAAAGTATGCTTACTATATCTATATTATCCATCATAGAATAATCATCAATCAGAACGGATCAATTGTGTATACAATCCTGTTTCTCTATAGTTGATTCTTCTCATCTCATGAGTCGTGATTTATTACTGTAATTTTAACAATTGTGTGTATCCGTATTATATTATATATTATAACACACCTACACAAGACCGTAGCCGGGAAAAAATTTTAGTTGGTGCTTAAAACCAAATCATATATCTACATAATATAAAAAAACCAACTTAAATAAATGTTTATCCAAAATAATACATTTGAATAAGATTTTTTTGTGTATTACATGTGTGATAAATGTATATACAATTTTAAATTAAATATTTTTGTAGCATTAAGTCTAAAGCAGTCTTATTTTATTTTCGAAACAAACGATCGTATCATCTGGATTGATTTAAATTTCTCTATGTGCATCCAAAAGAAAATATTCAGTTTTTTTTAATCTTTTCATGGTAGAAGATGTGGGTTCTGGCGTTGCTGTCGCAATAGATAAAAATATGTAACTCATACTCGTAATTTCAAAAAATAAGATATACTTGGAAAAAGATTATAATTACATTTAGTATATATTAATATGCTTCAATTTACAGTATATATTGTCTCGATAATCCGAACACAGGCTAATCTGAAAGACGCGGTAATCCGAACGGGCTTGAGAATTATCTTATCTTATCTAACAATATGTACAAATGTATTTGTAAATAATATTTTCCATTAAAAAAAATTTTTTTGAAGTCATAAGTAATCCGAACAAACCCTTTTCCCAATCTCGTTTGGATTATCAAGACCCTATTGTAATTGGATTCGGATAAAAACGGCGACATGGGCATATACATCTTCAATCTTCAAATTTCAATAAGGTATTCTTGTCATCCATCGATATAAATCGTCTATGACAACTGACAATAAGCGCCGTGTTAAAAAAGTTAAGCCGATAAGGAAAAATTAGTTGGTAGTAAAAATACTTGTTTTGTACATAACCATAAGGAAGAAACTACTTTAAATCGGCAACAAATAAATAATTTGTGTAAAAAAAACAGTTGCCAGCGTTGTTGAAAAACCATAAAAAATGATCAGATAAGAACTTGCACAACATAAAAACGATAGTAATTTATTAATGACTGATTTTCTGGAAATGTATAAAATGCTGAAGTAAGTTGTTATTCAAAGATACCAAAGTCTGCAAGAAAAGAAGTTCGTAATACTTTGAGTTCAATTAATGTAAAAACTATAATAGAGGTGAACATTTTATTTTTGAACACGAAGATTTAAATTTAAAAAAAGAGATTATTATATTTTCATGTGATACCAATATTGAATGTTAAAAATAACTAGAATTAGTTTACATGGACCATGGACGCTACTTTTAATTATTGTCATAACATTTTCATTCAAATATATACAGTTCATGGATTAAAAAATAGTATTTATATTCCATTAATATTTTGCTTTTTACCAGATAAAGCATTACCATATATTATTAAAAAAAGGGTTGGAATAAATCTTAGTAAATTTGTCACCGACTTTGACATATCATCAATGCTCTGAGCAATAAATATTATACTTCCAACAGCACAAATATGGGAATGCCGTTTCTATTTGGGCCAAGTTTGGTACCTTACAATTCAATAGGGCTATTACAAGAATTATATTTTACAATGTTTGATGAATTAGAAAAGCGGTTGGTTCATATATTTGGTTTACCATTTCTTAATTCAACAGATTTTGGAGATAACATTTTCAAATCTTAGATATAAAAAGAAATTTTTTTGTAAATTTCTCACTCAAAAAAATGGGGAAATTTTTTTTGATTTTATACTCAAATTTTTTAAAATTTTTTCTTACAACTTATAATGAGGATCCTTGTATAACATTTTCAAAACTTTTGATGGATAGAAATTTTTTTTTCGACATTAATTAAAAAAAACTAATAATAATCTAAAATTCCATATGCTTATTAGTAGCTGAACATCTATATTCTATAAAGTTGAAATTACTGTCTTAATATTTTGAAAATTGTGTGGTAAGTATATAGAAAATGTTAATGTAAACGTTCAGTGAAAACATCGCTTAACAGAAATTTTTTTGAGTTACACCAAAAATTAAAATCGAATTTACAGGAAATCAATTTTTATTAAAAATTCCAGTTTTAAATTAATTTTTATTTTCCTTGCTCTTTTGAAAATCATTTTAAAAGTATACGTCTCGAATCCACCAACAATAATTCTCACCCCACTGGAAAAGATATTGAAGTTAAAAGTCGAAGCATTTTTGACATATTGAGACTGTGAGGTTTAAAATAAATATTTTAAATATAACTCAACAATTATTAAAAACTATAATGTCTAAAATGTAAAATCACTTCTGTATTGTGCTTTTAAAAATCGCATTAAAAATATACCTACATTATCTAGTATCTACACAATATTGTATACTCTACACGTCAATACTCAATAAACAGTTCAGCACGGCTGCAGCAGCTAAAAAAATGAAGTACTGATCAAACTGGATTGTCTTTTATAATAAACATATTACAGTAAGTTTGAATTTAATCAATTTTAGTAAATTGCTTGGAGACACCAAAATAACCAGTATATTTTATGGTTTCCGGCTCCGTATCGTTGTGGTAATGTCCTCCTTGACCGCGATCAGTGTACATGTGGAAGTGTTGAATTTTTACAATGTCAATACATTATAATTTTATTTTTGTAAACATTTTATGAGTAAACATAGTATAATAAGTTGGTACAGCAGACTAAATCTGACCGAATATTACATATAATATTAGATATATGGAGATAATTCAATGAAATGTAACCAATTGCCCAACTCTTTTTCTGATTTTATTGGAATTTTCACCAAGCTCGGTTTTATGACATGAACTTTCACTTTTCCATTTTCGATGAGTATTACTCCACCCAAAGCTATATATTTATTTATATAACAAATAATAAAAATGATTTCACAATACTGTAATATTCGTATTTACTAAGTAGGTACAATCTACGCACTTAAAATATATATTTCTAAAAAACACAGTATTATTTATTATATTAATTAATAGGATCAATATTAATGTTTGCTCATACCAATGATTTCATCTCCAAAATGCTTTACTAATGCTTCTCTAATGCAAGTGCTAAAACTTAGAGGCCCTTTTCTAATTTCGCACACAATTTTCAAAACCTAAAAACACACTTATATTAAGATTAATTTACATAATATATTATGTTGTACCTGTAGAGAAACGGTAAGATTGTAATTTAAGTTATACTTATAAATTTATATTGTCTAACAATTTATTAAAAACCTTAAAAGTTACAATTAAAAAAAAATATTGTAAGTGTTTCTATAAATTGAAATACAGAGGCTAACACATACTTTCGAGCTATCGAGTATTTTATAGTTGTCTGTATATAATATATAGTAACAATATATTTTATAAATTTATAATAATAAAATAAAATAATCTACTACTGCAGGGTCATCGCCCGTTATATATACATATAAAATAAGTACATCTGTAGTACGTAGTAAGTATATCTATTAGATAACGTGGAAATAAAAAATCCAAACTTTTTTTTGTGTGTCATTGTATCGATTAATCAAGTTATATAACAACTTATGAGATTATTACCCAACTGGTTAAATGTTAATGTTATGTCTACTTGAAATATTATAAATCGCTAAGGCACCTTTATACATGGCATAGACTAATTATACATTATTTTTGAATTATCAAATAAGCCTTTAAAGAAATCGATGACTTTCTTAGAAACAAGGTTGGTATATTTTCCAATCACAGAGTGACACAATCAGAGATGTGTAGCATTTCAAGTAGCCCTTTCTAGTCATTACAATAAAAGAAAAGGTAGGCAACTCTATATAGACAATATAAGCTTATATTAGGATAATATTATATTCTATATTAAAATGTTTAACATTATTCAATTTATTTAGTTCTTACCTATATTGCTTAAATAATGATGATTTAAAATAGAATTACTAAGGTAAATTTATTATAAATATTTATGTAATAGAGAGTTTAAACTTTGATTATAAGTTTATAACCGAATACTAAATATATATACACAGAGTTTCTTCATACCTCTCCTTTAATGCCGTTACTAGTGAAGAAATTGGCCATCATTGAAAACCGCATTTCGTCGTCGGGTAATGATTCATGGAAACACTCCGCGACGTCATCGGACTTTGTCATGTGAACGTGTGTTCCGTTTTCCACACGGTCTCCTGTCATTTTAACATTTTCCACGCACTATATTATAAATTATAATTGAATACATTTGTCAAAAACATTATGAAATACGACATTAGTAGATTTTTTTAATTTCATAAACACTTATTTAATTTTTTTCCAACACCAACTTTTCTCATTTGAGAAATACCTTTTTTACTGTTTACAGTCGAGCACATGATTTTTTTTTAGAAATATTGATGTATATAAATAAAAAACCAATCAAACAGGTGGTTTCTAAATTATTATACACTTTAAGAATTAAGGATAAAAGTCCGTTTTTGGGTTATTGATATTGAACATTTTAGTTGGTAATTATTAATTATTTATAACTAATTAGTATTTAGTATACAATGTCAATACATTATAATTTTATTTTTGTAAACATTTTATGAGTAAACATAGTATAATAAGTTGGTACAGCAGACTAAATCTGACCGAATATTACATATAATATTAGATATAATATTGTATATTTGATATGAAACAATTATTAAGGATTATTATCCTTATAGTAAACTTACGGCTACATAACATTTAATAACTCAGAAATTCATTTTGATTTATGTAAATAAGTAGTTATAGGTATTATATACAACAAGTATTCAACTTTTTTTTAACAAATACATGTGCTTAGCAGTTAACAGTAAAATTGGAGAATCTCACTTTAATATATGCAGGGAAGAATATGTTAAGAAATTTGAATTTGAATAAATATATTAGGTAGGTATAGGTATTAAAGGATAAAAGGAGGATGCGCATGTTTGGTGATGAATCAATCTGTATAGTGACAAAAATACTCACCTCACTGTCGGCTCCGAAAAACGGATATGGGCCGGCACAAGCTCCGATGATAACCAAAGGATCAGACCCAGTAATCTGTTTTAAATCTTTGACGTTATACAATTTTTCTCGTTTTAATGAAGGAATAAAATTAGTGACATCGCCGATGTCAAATACGTTTTCGTCACCACATAGTCCTATACCCATTAATAAAATATATACCTACACAATTTACCAAACGGCTAATACATGAACTATAGTCTATATAGGTATAGGTACCAATATAAGTAAATACTTAATGCTCACCTTCGGAGGTCAAGTTAAACGGCGGTTGGGTTAAATCTGGACATTGAACTACCTCTGCAAATACATTTTCAAAGTTTTCTAATAACTCGGGCAATATGGCTGAAATAAACGTAGAATTTTGCATTGCTAATAACACGATTCTATAAGTATACACTTACATTTATTCATAATTTCAAAAAACCTCGATGTATATAATTTAAGATTAGCCATACATTATATATTTATTTTATATTCATTACTTATATTATACCTTACTTAATCGTTTTTTTAAAGATAGGTAACTATTTGGGCGCACGTAAACTCCGCCACAAGTACCTTTTTTTACTGTAAACTCCGCCAGAAAAAAAAAACAGGTAAAATTGGGTTCATGTAAACTCCGCCACTGAAAAACATCAGATAAAATTGAGTTTATGTAAACTCTGCCAGTGAAGAAAATCAAATAGTAGAATAAAATTATAATATAATATCATATCATATCATATCAATATTTAAATCATAGTATAAAAAATCATAATAAATAATCCAAAATCATATTTTTCATAATAATAATTAATAATTGTCCACATAATAANTTGTCTTTCTAGTGTTTGGATGGAAATTGGAAGGCATGAAGTAATGTGAGTATCATTTGCAAAATGTGTTAAAGCAATATTATGCTGCTCAGCTCCAACAGTTTTTATAAATGCATTACAATTTTTGTTATTGCACCTCCATTTTATTTCACCAGACGCGTATTTTATATTTTTATTATACTTATAATTTTTAAATACAACCAACAAATTGCCTCGTTGGCCAGTAATTAATTTTATACTATTATTTTCTTGCGACATATTTCGTTCGGACATATACAAATTACAAATATCAGAAGTACGGAAACACGCAGACTACGAATGATTATGTTCGTCAAAGTATACGTCTTTACGTATACCTTATCTACTGCCGATATCATCATTGGAAATCCTGATTTCAGATAATATGAAGATAAAATTACTAATAATTTGAATCGATCTAACCTTGACAATATTTTATCAATTTTGACATATACATCACAATAGATGTAAACGTATTTAATGTGAGAAGGCACGTGGCAATGTGAGTACTGTCGCACTGACCAGGTAAAAAAAAAAACTGGCGGAGTTTACATATACCCATTACAGGTAAGAAAAAAAAGCTGGCGGAGTTTACCATAGACCTATTATTACCTTTTTATCTTAACCGATATTCTGGCGGAGTTTACAATCGCCCAACTATTTAAACCATACTATAGGTTGTGCCTCTTGCCCTCTTGTATGAAACAACCCTGCTTGCAACTATATTATATTTAATGTTATAGGCAGGGCCGTGGAGAAAGAAACCCAGGACAGGTGGTAACTCTATTAATACCCTGGAGCGGGCGAGCATTTAAATCGTTAAGATATTTACAGTTTTAATTGCATTTAAAAATGTCAATTTGTGTACAAAAAAATACTTATAGTATCTAAAAGTGTAATATACCCACGAATAATATTTTTAAATTACAACAAAATAACTAAAACTTCTATTCTTCGTTTGAATATTTCATTTCGTCCAAATTTTAACTTAAAATAAGAATAACTGTGTTAATATATTTGTTGGTTACAGTATGAACTATTTATGAGACTCCTTGTTTTAAATTTTCATTCCCTACTCGGGACTCCCCAGCTATCAGTTTTAGTAGATATTGACGAAGCTTAGTAAAAAAAATTATATTAAAAAGCATATTAAATAGTACAAAAAAAAAAGAATTATTAAGCAAATATAGAAATGCTATGGGTACCTTGAACAATGCATATTAAAGACGGAGTGTTTAGTTTGAAACGCACTATTGGCAATTTGTTCATGTCCAGTGTACTTGGAAAAGTGCAACTTTCGTTGGTCATTTCGGAGAAATGTGTGTTCATTTTTTTAAATAAAAAAAAAAAGAAACTAATAATAATAATTAACTGTTATAGTACCTACACCACGGACAACATTTATTATTATATATTCGGTCGACGACACTAATAATGATTTAAATATATACCTAAACTCAAGTATATTACAGCATCTATTACAAGCGAGTATAAAAAAACACGAACAGAAAATAGTATAGCAATACGTAATAGGTGTACAGTGCGAAGTGAAGCGATGAATGCATTGATTTTATCATAATGTGTTTTTTTTGTTTATTGCATGATACACGATTTGTAGTGGAAAAAAATATTTGATAAAAAATTATTTTTAAGCTATTTCCTATTTATATTGCGAACCCATTCACACCGTTCTACGGTAGTTTGGTCGGTAATTGACACAAACGTTAATTAGTATAATATATCATAGTATTATACTATTATACTTAACAATACATAATAAAATAAAATATAAAGATAAATAAATATAAGATATTTTTCGGAAAAATTAGTACAATATTTATCGTAGTAGATACTAACTACTGTCTTTAAATAGTAAAATAAATGTCTATAATAGCAATATTATTTCCAATATAAATGTGTAATAAATATATGCGTATATGCGGTTTACTCATCACAGTGGAGTAACCAGGAATTTTGTATAGGGGGGGAGGTTATAGCTCATGGTATAATTTTTTTTTAAAAGTTCTCTTTTTGAAATATTTATAGACATTTGACTCTTGACATCTTTTATTTTTCTAAGTTTATTTTCTTTAAATATTGAAACAATATACATTACCGGGCGGGAGATAAAGGATAAATGTTTATTAGTGGATTACTATGGAAGCTTAAATTGGTATGTAATTTAGAGTAGTTATACCTTAATGTAAGTTGGCTAATTAATTAAAGGAATTTTTTTTGGTTAAGTAGTTACTATCCAGATAGATAGGCTAATCTAGGATTGACGCTGACGAAGTAATGCGCAAACAGTCCCGGCAGCGCCGTCGATAACAAGAGAAAAAAAAAGTCTAATCTAGGATAGATTATTATAAACCACTGAAGAGTCTTAATATTAAAAAAATGCTTTGCAGATAAACTTCTAAGGAATCTTGTATGCCTATAAATAGTTCAACACAAGTCAAAATATTTTGAAAATTTTATGAATCAAAGGTCTCTTTTAGAGTTACACAAAAAACCAAAATAATTTTTTTCCAAAACAGCAGGTTCTGCGTAAATATTCCTGTTTTTCCTTAATTGTTTGTTTGTTTTTTTGTCGCTTTTGAAAACTATTGGAAATTTTAAATTTTTAACTCCCAGATGAACCAACTAGATTCACTTTCCTATCAAAAAAGTTAATGTCGAAGAAAATCGAAGAACTTTCACTACCCAAAACCGTGATGACAAAAATGTGACGTCAATTCATTTCATTAGTTGGATAAGTATTACTTGTTTAGTGTTATTCATCCCTGCAGGCGTGGCATGCCACGTACACTATTCATTATACATACTGTCTGCGTACTGAATATTGAGACCAGCAAGTTTAAAATAAATATTTCAAATAAAACTCAAAAATTATTAAAAGCTATAATGAGTAATGACTAATGAAAAATGACTTCTGTATTGTGCTTTTAAAAATCGCATTAAAAATATACCTACATTATCTAGTATCTACACAATATTGTATACTCTACACGTCAATACTCAATAAACAGTTCAGCACGGCGCCACGGCTGCAGCAGCTAAAAAAATGAAGTACTGATCTAACTAGGTTGTCCTTTATAATAAACATTACAGCAAGTTTGAATTTAATCAATTTTAGTAAATTGCTTGGAGACACCAAAATAACCAGTATATTTTATGGTTTCCGGCTCCGTATCGTTGTGGTAATGTCCTCCTTGACCGCGATCAGTGTACATGTGGAAGTGTTGAAGTCTTAAATTCAACCCCTAAGAAAAGGAAAAACATTTTTAATAGAAATTTAGAACAGCCGTACAAGGTATCTATATACTTATAAAAATAATTTATTGAAATTACGGGATCATGAGAGACTATGCATCCGACACCCACCGACGGTGGAGATAATTCGAAGAAATGTACCCAATTGCTCAATTCTTTTTCTGATTTAATTGGGATTTTCAACAAGCTCGGTTTAACGACGTGAACTTTCACTTTTCCATTTTCGATGAGTATTACTCCACCCAACGCTATATATTTTTATTTATATAACAAATAATTAAAACGATTTCACAATAATGTAATATTCGTATTTACTAAGTAGGTACAATCTACGCACTTAAAATATATATTTCTAAAAAACACAGTATTATTTATTATATTAATTAATAGGATCAATATAAATGTTTGCTCATACCAATGATTTCATCTCCGAAATGCTTCACTAATGCTTCTCTTATGCACGTGCTAAAATTTAGCGGTCCTTTTCTTATTTCGCACACAATTTTCAAAACCTAAAGGCGCAATTATGTTAAAATTAGTTTACATAGTAGATTATCTCGTTTCTCTAGAGAAACGGCAAAATTGTATTTTTAGTTATACATATTTATAAATTTATAGCGCCTAAAAATTTATTTTTAAACCGTGCATATAGATATAGACATATAGCCATTTTTAAAGCAAATATAATGCACATGAGGTGAAGTGGGTTATTCAGCAAGTACAGTGAAACCTCGACAACTCGAGGATCGGTCAGGGACAATGATTTATTATTGGAGGTATTGAAAAAGGGACTTAAAAACGTGCCTAACCTAATAGGGCAGTGATAGATCCAACTGACTTGAATGTTATGTCAATGTTATATATATTTGAAACGTTATACGTCTTGAGGGTACATAATATGTAATAGAAATATACATTTTTTTTTTTAAAACAATGGGATTAATTTTACTGCAATTGATAATTTTATGAGAAACAAGAATGTAATTTTTTATGGAATTATGGGATGACATGATCAGGGTTCACCTAGTACTTATATATTAAAATGAAAGAAAAGTGGGCTGGTAGGTTACCGCTCTGCTTTACAGGTGTGAAGTATGATTAGGGTATTGGCAATAATAAGGGCTACAACCCGTTTGCGCACATTTACCTTTTTTACAACTCATTTGCTCACAAAAACACAACTCATTTCCGCAAAATTTTCGAACAATAGAAACCTTTTTTCAGAGAAAAAATATCACGTATAGAGTGAACATAACGTGCGTATCTCTATAATAAATAATCTATTATAATAACGTAGGTACGACATATCGCCACAATCAGTATGGATGTTTACTGTGGATATATATGTACCTGTATATTTGGTATCGTTGTTTAGAAGTTCAAAGTGTTCAAACTACAAATAATATGGTTTGCGCAATCGTATCGCGCCCCATTGAGTTATTTTCTGTAGTGAAAGTGTTAAATACTTAAATTCGATTTTAATGATAAATCATTGTATAGTGCTTATGAAAAATGATTCTGAATGAAGACCGTCGTTCGTTTGTGGACTTTATATATTACTTGTAGATTATAATTTATAATATAATATTACTAAGAGTATTTTACGTTAAATTCATATTGCGATTACACTATTTTAGTAATGCTGTATATTCACCAAACATGTATTGTTTAAGGTTGGTTAAAAATTAAAATAGTAGGTGTTGAAAGAAATTGTTTAATTATTTTTTAACTTTTTCTTATTAATGCATGATAACTTAACTTAATTTAAAAAATCTTCAAATTGCCCAGGTTTTATTAGTAAACAATAGTTACAATTAAAAATATAATAATTTAATTTAATGTCTCAAAACCTCACGAATATAATATTTTTCATTTGTAATAAAAACTGAAGACCAAATTTGAACCTCAAATGTTTTAAAAAAAATTCATGACCATGTATTTATAATATTTTTTAATGGCTATAACGACTTATTTAGAATATTGTACTCCATTTCAAGCATTTTGACCAAGCCTAAACATTTTTACCAACATTGAACAAAGTTCAAAATTTTAAAATACCTATTTATGTCAGTGAAAATGCCAAAAAAATTTTTAAATTATTTTATGTCTAGTAAATATTAATATTATTACTATGTGAGCATTTCAGGTCTCAATGGTTTTTATTTTTAAATCACAGAAAAACCTACATTGTATCTATAAATTCATTTCTTCACTCTGCCTCTAAAAGACTAAAACTGAACTTTGTTCAGGCTATAAAATGTTCACGCTACATTCTCTAGAACTAGGGTAACTTATTTTTTGATTAATTTGCTCACTGTATATGTCTGTATAGGCAATGTGGACATAGGTTAGCTATATATAATATATTATATCATATTAATATGTTAAACATTTTTTAATATACTTATCCATTACTTAAATGGGTGATAGTAAACTCTCCCGAATTTTAAAACTAGTAAACTTTCCCGGGTCAATATTATGTTTACCTGAAGTAAATGTGTAAACTCTCCTGAGTTTTAAATATTATTGCTACACTATGAATTGGCTATAGTGCAGAGATTGTGAATATCATTTTAAATATTTATTATGAGTTGTATTACCGTTAACCTATATTTATTTTGTAATTTAAATATTTAAATATTTTATTACCGTTAACCTATTTTAAATTATAATATTTAAAACGATTTTGACTGTAATGGTTCAACCAAGTTTTCCAACCCTATCAACTGCGTTGTATGAATAATGCCACATGCTCCTCTAGCTTAGTAGTACTGAAGTATTGTAGACCCGGGAGAGTTTACATATTCTCGTCAGATAATATTGGAGTAGACCCGGCGGAGTTTACCATCGGGAGAGCCTACATGTCATTATGATCGGGAAAGTTTACAATCGCACACTTCAATAATGATGATTTAAAATAGATTTATTAAAGTAAATTTACTATAAATGTATATGTAATAGGTATACATAGTTTATACTTTGATTATATAACCAAATAGTAAATACTTACAATATTTTGTACTTACCTCTCCTTTAATACCGTTACTGGTGAAGAAATTGGCCATCATTGAAAACCTCATTTCGTTATCGGGTAACGACTTATGGAAACACTCAGCGACATCATCTACGGACTTGGTCATGAAAGCGTGTGTTCCGTTTTCCACATGGTCGCCAGTAATTTTAACATTTTCCACGCACTATAATATAAGTTATAATTGAATATATTTTTTATTTATTTATTTATTTTTATTTATTTAATGAATAAACGGGCGTGAGCCCAGGTTAAAATTATTAGGTGAACAATACAATCATACAATAACGTAACATGAATAATATAACAAAGTATAAAATATAAATTAAACTAAACAATGAATACAAAAATAAAACTATTAAAGGAACAACGGATCCTCATTGGCTAATTTCATTAATCTCGTAATAGGTTCATTTTTTAGTTTCTAGTGCAGAAAGGTATAAAGAAAGGATAATTATTGCGGGTGGACCTAACAGGAACTCTAAAGTTAATGAGAGAAAGAAGAGATGGGGAATCGACCAAGCCTGTTAAGAGTTTGTTAAGGAATGTGAGATTATTGGAATGACGACGGTCAGCTAGGGAGGATAAGTTAAGCAAACAGAGAAGGGGAGTGTAATCGCGAGGGGTGCAGTTTACGTTAAGAGAATGTTTCATGTAACATAAAAATTTTCCCTGAACCCGTTCTAGTTGAAGACAAGCATCAGTTGATTGGGGATCCCATACAACTGAGCCGTATTCAACGATTGGACGTACAAGTGCACAATATATAGCTTTGAGGGAAGCGGAAAGCTTAAAGTCACTAGATATTCTTTTGACGAAACCCAATACCTTAAGGGCTTTGTATGTAACTCTGTCTATGTGAGCTCTAGGACAAAGAGAGGGAGTAAAAGTAAAACCAAGATCACAGATGCTAGAGTCAACTGGAATCAAATTAGAGCCATTCAATGAGTAAAGATGAGTAATAGGAGAGCGACTTCTTGTGAATGTCATGGACCGGCACTTTTCAATATTTAATGTGAGACCGAGAGAATCAGCCCATGCGGAGAAACTATTTAAATCATCCTGGAGTTTGAGACAATCATCGACAGAGTTAATTTCGAGGAAAATCTTCATATCGTCGGCAAAACAAAGAAGTTTGCTATGTTTGAGAGAGGAGCTAGCACTGTTAACAAACAAAGAGAATAGAAGAGGTGATAGATGTCCCCCCTGGGGAACGCCTGAGGGAGATAAAAATGAGTCAGATTTAGTGTTGAACAAATTAACCCATTGGGATCTATTTACTAAAAAATGAATTAAACCAAGATAGGATAGGATCCCCAAATCCAGTAGCACGAAGAACAGAGATTAGAACCTCATGGTTTACAGAGTCAAACGCCTTAGCAAAGTCGGTATATATGACATCAACTTGTGTTCCATTTTTAAAAGATCCGAATATGTAATTGCAGAAAACAAGGTTACAAGTAACCGTTGATCTGCCAGTACGGAAACCATGCTGTTCGTTGGCTAAGATCAAATTTACAGAAGGCTGAATTGCGTCTAAGACTATTGACTAATGACTCAAAGAGCTTAGAAATATGCCCTAAAATGGAAATTGGTCTGTAATTAGTGACTGACGCACGGCAACCTGATTTTAAAATAGGAGTAATGGAACCTATTTTCCACATGTCCGGAAAAGTACTATCATCGAGGGATCTTCGAAATAGGATCCAAAGAGGATAGAAAATAATGAACCTAGTTTTGTAGAGGAAATCGCCAGGTATTCCATCGGGTCCAATAGAAGACACATTTTCTAAAGTATTAAGTTTGATTAGGACATCGTTTGTAGAGAAGTAACAGTTGTTAGGTAAGTCAAAGAACTGTATATCTAATGTCTGAAGATTTGAAGTAACGGGCTCTGGAGAATAAACCGAAGAAAAATGTTTAGCAAACAGATTAACACTTTCCAGCTTAGAAGAACTATTGACACCATTTAAAGAAACAGTGTTCGGAACAGCATTGTGGGAACGATTCTTGCGTACAAAATCCCAAAATTTTTTGGGATTAGAGGATAGAGATTTTTCAGACTTTTCGACGAATTCTTTATGACATTTTTTGGAAGTATATTTACATGATGAAGTATAAGTAAGGCCATGTGAATCATTAGACCAAGAAATCTCAGGCAAATTGTAATCACCACAGAGCAAGAATATTTGTTCAGGATGGTGTTGATAAACCGTTTCTAAGACGGACATAAAATTTTCAAATAAATGAGATGGACAAAGAGGAGGAAAATAGGCAGCATTAATTATAAACTTGGAAGACCCAACAGTGAGCATCACAAATAAGTGTTCAACATTGATTTCACGAACAACAAGTAATTTAGAAGATATATCTTTTCTTATACCAATGAGTACTCCGCCTCCCCTTAAATAATTACTAGTAATAGAACATCTATCATATCTGTAGATATTATAATTGGAAAGACCAAGTTCACAATCAGTAAAAGAATCGGTTAACCAAGTTTCAGTTAAAACAAAAAAATCATAATTTATACAGGCTA